CCCTAACTCTCCACAGTTCACCCTGCTATAAATGTGTACTTAACAATGGGAAGAAACTGAATATAAATAAGTGTTAATGATCATGGATTGTACCTCACAGGTATATGCGATATATATTATGGTCCAAATGCAATAAATAGACTGGCCAAGTGAAGTCGTGTGAGCCTTCAGTGTGAAGACATAGCTGTAAATAATGTATTAAATTTTGTTTGTTTTGTTGCTATACAAGAATTTGATTTTGATAACTATAACTGATGCCTTTTCAGCAGTAGATAATAGGTCTTGGCCTATGACGCTGTTACAAAGAAGCATAAAGTTGGCAAAGAGAATGATGTTTGTGAGGGTTTATGTGTGCGTGTGAGTGTGTGTGTGTGTGTGTGTGTGTGTGTGTGTGTGTGTGTGTGTGTGTGTGTGTGTGTGTTCAAGTGTTGATAGTTATCGGTACTGTACATGAGTTTGTATGTAAGGGAAAGAATAAAACAGTGGAGGGGTGCCATGTGTGTGTGAGGTGGGGGAGACAAATTCCAAAATTCATTTAGTATATTGGAGAAAAGGGGGGGGGGGGGGGGACTTTCATCACTCAGTAAAAATTATTAAATCATTATCTATGCCTTTTCAATAAAGTGAAAGCCCTTAATTAAGATAACAAGTCAGGTGTTGCTCCCTTGTATTTCTGAATTATTGTGTTAACTGTATTGACGTACGCCGTGCAGCGGTCTGCTGGTGATCAGTCTCGGAGTAAGGCGTGTGACGTGAACGTCAAGGTGAGAGCTGGCAGTCCCTGTGTTTTTCTCGCGATGATCTATGGGCTCTTTATTCTTTATCAGACTGTCCGACTGGCGAGTTACTCCCCATGCTTTTTAAAAGTTACCTCCCTTGTCTTTCTGCATGTGAACTTGATAAAGTGGCGAGTCAGCTAAAACTAAACAATGAAAGTTTCTCTTCACTGCATGTAGTTCGCATTTTATGAGATACATGTATGTAAATGACAACGTTTGTTCACCTGAAAACGTGACTTTGCTCGCAGTCGCAGACTGAGGTTGCCCTCTGTCTGTCTGTCTGTCTGTTTGTCTAAGTGATTGGTGGGCACTCTGGTGTGGTTTGCTTAAATTCTTCTTTCTTATTTACAAAAAAAAAAATATCTTCCCGTCTTCTTTTCTTTTTACCCTCTTATAATAGTAATATACCTCGCGATTACGTCCATGGGATTCTGTGCCACAAACTAACACACGATATAAGCTTTTGAAAATTCGCATGAACCCATTTTTTTAATGCAACATGCCCACAATGAGAGTGCATTTGTGTGTGCGAGTGTGCGTGTTTGTGTGTGTGTGTGTGTGTGTGTGTGTGTGTGTGTGTGTGTGCGTGTGTGCGTGTGTGTGTGTGTGTGTGTGTGTGTGTGTGTGTGTGTGTGATGTGTTTGCGTGTCTGTTTGAGTGTATACGTGTGTGTTTAAATGTAAACGGCACAATCTAGAACATTGAGGAGTTGGGCTGCTTAGACCCCATGTATCAGGGCCAGTCCAGGCTGAGAGAGAAACGATATCCCAGCAGAAAGACTGAGATAACCGATAGAAAATTCTCCCTGAACAGGAATCGAACCCACGTCTTCATTGAGCAACGGATATGCACCTACCGCAATACTACAGACACCGGTTGCGCGTGTGCGTGCGCGCGCGTGTGTAAAGAGAGACTGAGGCAGAGAGAAAGAGACAGACAGACAAGACTCACTGACTGACTGACTGACTGAATGATTCGGAGAGACTGAGAGAGAGAGAGAGAGAGAGAGAGAGAGAGAGAGAGAGAGAGAGAGAGAGATGGGCAAGCAGATGGAAAGTATGCCCTTTAAATGGAGACAAAATCAAAACATATAAACCAAGTTGACACGAGTCATCATCAAAAATGGTTGCCAGTCTTTGCAAAATAAGGCTATAGCTTCCAAACAACATGCGTACCTACACAGCTAAAGTAAATTAAATACTTTGGGCCAAACACAAGTTTTCAAAGCAAATGTCAGTGCCAATAATTGCAAGTGGTTGTTGTATTTGTTGTATCTCACAGCAAAAAATGAACATAGCTCTCTGCTTAGTCGTCGTCTACTAGAGTACAAGAGACAGGAATATATAGACCCCCCCCCTCCCCCTATCTGTCTCCATTCCTCCCATCCTTCCCCCATTAAACTGCGCCCCCACCCACCCTCTCTCTCTCTCTCTCTCTCTCTCTCTCTCTGTAAATATATCTAAACTTAACGCTATGGCCATGCCGCTGGGCGAGGAAGAGGAGTAGGGGTGCAATTCGGGGGTAGATGGGTAGATGTTACCCCATCATGTGAACCCTCAGCGATGCAGATGGTCAGTGTAGTGTGGGTGGGAAATCTCACGACTTCCCGTGAGAGTGTGAGAGTAGCCAGCCACTTTGGAAACTTTCCTGGGTAGCCAGAAGCCAGAGGTGTGAAATTACATTGACCAATGCCTGCCACCCTGATCGTACGACCAGCTGAGAAAAGAGTTCCTCGAACGTTGTTACGATGATGGTAGTGAGGGGTGGCGTCGGTGGATGGGGTTAAGGGTGGAATCAAAGGAGACGTTGAAACGTTTCTGTTTTTGATTGGTCAAACAGTAGTCCTATGAAAGGCAAGCACTGGTAGTAATTGGATAAGTAAGACTGACACATGTCATTTATCAGACAGGATAGCAATTAAAAGGTGTGAAGTTTTGTCCACTGCTTGCTGATCGGAAAAGCGATCCTTGATCCCACCGGCTGGGCCTTTGACCCCCCCCCCCCCCCACCTCCATCTCCCACTAAATTACCCTGTCTGAGTGAGATGGAAAATGTCTACTAAGACGGACTTTTTTCTGGCTCCCTTGCGATTCCGTCTTACACAGGTTCGACTATACATAATATATATATATATATATATATATATATATATATATATATATATATATATATCTTATGCCGAACTTGGGTTGTTTTCAAGGTTCTCCCCTCCCAAGGCCCGCTTCTACCACAGGTAAGTTAAAAATTAGAGGTCCTTCCTCTTAAATTTAAACAGTCTTCCAGTCCAGAACGGCGAGAAGCCAACTCATACACATTTTCCCCATTATAATATATTTTACTAAAAAGCCAAAACCACCCATACTGCTACAACGCTGGTTTCAGTTTGAAATCGTTTACATGTACGT